TGTGTGTGTGTGGTTGTTCAGCGTGTGTGTGTGTGTGTTTTACAGCGCACACATTCATAGCTTAATCGCTTCCTCACTTCCCTCTCCCAGCCCACGCAACTCGACGCCATTCGCAGCACATACATATGTGCATACATGCTACATGCTACATGCATCCATACATACATACATACATACATACATACATACATACATACATACATACATACATACATACATACATACATACATACATACATACATACATACATACATACATACATACATACACTCCCAATCGCGATACACACGGCAAGCAGCCGATGACGAGAGAACAGTAAGAGGGGGCGTGAGACAGCAAGAGGACGAGGAGGCAAGGTGAGGCGAGTTGAAGCGGGGGGATGTAAAGAGTGGAAACGATGCGGCGCAACCCACTTTCTCCCCTCCTTCCATACACACACACACACACACTCTCACCCCTAACCTCCCTCCCGGCCCCTTCGTACTGCCACCCCTATGCACTACCAACCCTCCACCCCACCCCACCCCACCCCACCCCACCCCACCTCCCCACCTGCAGCATGTACAGCGCCAGTACGTGCGCTGGAGTTGTCTTGACGAGCCTCTGCACCTCTTCACTGCCCCCCGCGGTGGCCAGTCGGGCGATGTAGGTCTTCTCCTCCACAGTCAGGCTGCCCTCGTGCAGCAGGGGCCCGCCTAGCCTCTCCAGGGCGGACCGAACCATCAGGGTGGCCTGGAGGGGGGCGGTGAGGAGGATACGACGAAGCACAGACGCTTGAATCGGAGGTGGGATGGTGTGTGTGTGTGTGGGGGGGGGGGGACGGAAATTAGGGAAAAGATGTGACGGCGGAACGAAATCAGATCATAGCGAAACACACACACACACACACTCACACACACACACACAAGCACACATACATGTATACATATATACGTACATGTATACATATATATATATCCTTGTAAATATCCTTGTTGTTTGGATAGTCTGTAGTTGTTCCTAGCCGCCAATCACCATCCGCCACAGTGCACACCGCCACGACATTTCGCTACTCGCTCTGGCGCCATTCTCCTCCAATCTTTATATCAACACCCTCCAATATATTCCGAGCCGTATCTCACGCGGCTCAGTTCATGTAAACACATACACACAGATACACACACAGATACACACACACACACACAGATACACACACAAACACACACACAAACACAAACACACACACAAACACACACACACACACACACACAGAAACACAAACATACACACGCGCACGCGGCACATAGGGCCCACCTGCGCCTGCAACTCCTCATCTCCATCCTTATCGCAGTTAGCTTGCGTGCCAGAGGACGTTTTGGACGGCATCGAAGTGATGTTGACCACGACAAGGCAGTTGAAGCTCACCCTGGGCGGCCGCAAGGAGATGAGACCCGAAGGGGGGGGAAGGGGAGAGGGGTTTCATGTGGGGGGGAGGGCGGCACGAGCGGCCCTTTCCGCTGAGTGTCCTTTCCCCTTGCCAGGTAAGAAACACGCTGAGCCTCTCGACCACCAGACCATTGGACGAGCGAGGCCGTAAACTAAAGCGAGGCCCCAAGTAAGGCCCAAGACTGATCATATCATATCACATCATATGATATCGGCACTGTTCCGCCTCATCTTTACCAATCTTCGTCGCGAGTCGCGGCCCTTCAGCCAAGGCAACACTTAGCAAGATGTGATATGTAGTGCTATCAAACGACGCAAAGCCGGCGGTTTCGATACCACGGGCTTGGGATGAAGCCGGCGGGAAGCCTTGTCCGCGTCTTCGCCCATAGCCATAGCTCTAGCTCTGCTAGCTCTTACCGCAGCGCGTATCGGGCGGGGCTGTCGTCCGCTTGGATACGGCGCCCGTCGACCTCTACCCACGGCAAACGCTCCTGAATGATCCGCATAAGATCTCCCAGCCTGCGGGCCATGTGCTGCGGCAGGGCCGCATAGCCCTAGAACCACAGGGATTATACCATCACAGGACAGCGCAACACAGCATAGCACGGCACAGCACAGCAGAATACGGCGAGGTGGCCAAACGGAGCGCAAACACCACGTTGCATGTATAAGACACGTTCAAAATAAGGTTATATGGAGGTTAAAGGATGAATGCCAGCCAAGTCCGGATAAGCCAGGGGAAGCCCGGTTTCACTTTGTTAGTACGATAGCACCGGTACGTTGTAAATTAAGCGCTCTTAGACAATACCTGGGCTTCATAATTCCCTTTGATGAATAAAGCCAAGCCCGTATACGCCTTTTCCTGATTCCACTGGCCATCGGCAATTGGTCCTAGGGATTCCTGTCCGGTGCAAGCGCAGCACAAGCAATGCCGGATTTTAGAAAGGATATTTTGAATAGACGCACTGGTCTTGTGCATGCTTCTTATGGCGTACCCAAGACTTCTCGAGTAGATCCAAGGATTTTTTCATCTGCTCGCAGCGCCACGTCCGTTGGCTAGGACTGAGATCAGCATAAAGCTTGGCCATGCTTCCTCTGTAATGGCACGCTTACTGTCGACCAGTGGGTTATGATCTTTGGAATCGCTCGACGTAGGACTTGAGTTACTACGCAGGGCACTATCGACACAACTGACTAGCAGGAGAACATTGCCAGTAGCAACCCAAATACCACAATTTCGCCGGCTGACGGCACCCAACGCGGTACATTGTACAACCCGCCGGAACGCCGTGGAGGCGCTAGATGGCTATGCAATTGTGGAAATGTAAACGATGTGCTTGTAACGCTGGGTGGCGGGCTCAACAGGCTGCGGACGACGTTCTCTTTAAGAGGCGGAAACTCTTAAGAAGCAAATGCGGCCCCAGGTACCGAGATAAGCTTGTATAATATAAATAAAAGCTTAGAATAAAACGGCCGGAAAGGCCCGGGCCTGTTCCTTAAAAAAAACAAACCAAACTCTCCACCATTAGGGAAGAAACGGTGCGGCAGGGCGACTGGATAACTCTGACAACCTAACAAGCCTTCGACCCCAAAGGTCCTCGCTATCGCCCTACGCGCAAAAGCGAAAATCCTTCTTCCTCCCTAAACACACTATGGAGTTCCAGCTACCTCGCCGACCTACAAAAACACAGAAGCACCCCACCCCGGGCGCGCGCACCATGCCGCGAAACCCCCCTTCCCCACCCCAGACTCCACCTTAACCACCACCTTCCAACTCGTACATGTCCGTACAAACGCTCCAGCGAGGAAACGCCCGCTATATCCGTCCAACGCAGCACGCGACTTCACGACATCCTTCGGCAACATCCAACAACACTCCCAAAAGCAAAAAAGCAAAATGGATTCCTCCCCCCCTCCGCCTCTGATTCGTTTTCCCTTCTTTAAGAGCACCCACCATCACCAGCGCCATCACCATCACCATCACCATCACCACCACCACCACTTCTGTTCTCCCGCTGTTGCTGGTGCTCAGCCACTGAAGTACTACTGCTACTGCTGCTAGAATAGAATCACTGCTGATGCTACAGCCTGCCACGTGTGCGCACATCTGACGCCAGACGCAGGTCGCGCTCCTTCTCGTACTCCCGCAGTTCGGCTCGTTTAAGGAAATTCTGCAGAAGCGGCCCCCGGGCATGATGGGAAAGTAATGAGGAGGGTTGGATTGCGGAGCTATCAGCGAGCAGCACGTGGCTGTTGCGAGAGATGTACACTTCCACCGCAACCACTCCCAACCACTTCAACCATTCTCCCAACCAACCCATAAACTGCACACCTGCTTATCCAGATACTGATCCCCACTCTTCTTGTAAGTCTCAAGCTCCTCGTCAACCTCAGTGTTGGCGGCCTGACGGAGTGTGTTTGGGTTTGGGGGTAGGAAGGGGTAATACTTGGCGCGGTGGGTGTGTGTGGAACGTGAGCACACTGAAGACTGCATTCAGAGACATCCACACGCATGCGCGCTCGTACATTTGATGAACCAGATGGAGGGAGATGATGCATTTGCAAATACACGTGTACGTACGTACATACATACGTGCATACATCTACAAGTACCACGGGAAAAGGTTGCTCACACATGTGCGCTTCGCGTCTAGGCGTTTCCGCGCGAAATCAATACACCCCCACTTTAGTTTCACGCTGGCACAGCGCTCCCCCTCAAAACCCCTCTCCCTCTCCCTTTCCCCCTCTCCCTCCCCATTCAACCTCCCGGCTCCTTGCTCTCACCTTGTACTCGCTCCAGTCCGCCTTCGTCTTGTCCAACACGCTGACCTACACCACCACCGCCAGTCACAGAAAATACGTGTGTGTATGTGTGTGTGTGTTTTGAGGCGAGAAAGGGGTCCCGGGGAAAAAAGAGTGGTACGATTGCTGGGCGTGCGCGGTAATGGCAGCAAAGGAGGCGGCCGCTGTTGCCGAGCCGTGGTGGCAGTGGTGGTGGTGATTATGGATGCGTTCACGATAATGGCGGCAACGGCGACGGCAGCAACGGCTTCGCATAGCTGCTAAGTGCCAACATGGGGCTGACAGACAGACAGACAGACAGACTGCTGGAAATTGCTGCAAGCTCTGCATGTCATTAAATTCTCGCAAGCAAGCACGACCGGGAAAGCAGCTATCACCCCCTATACATACAGCCACATACATACATACATACATACATACATACATACATACATACATACATACATACATACATACATATACACGACTAGATCTCAGGGATCACACCCCAAGGAACGTGTTATCCAGCGCCAGGGGCTATGTTACAACCCCAGGGAGGGCGAGGGGGTTCACGGCAGCTGCTCCCGGGGGGGGACCATGCGGACCCAAACCCGTTTGGAGCCGACCCACACACCCCGGCTTCTCGTCTGTCTGTCTGTCTGTCTGTCTGTAAGTATGACCCTCTTAGCAGGCATGTCTTAGCTCGTCATCACAGATCGCGTACCAGCAAAAACACACACCTCACTCCCTACCTTTTTCTTCTTGTCAATCTCCGCCAGAATGGCATCGAGCCCTGAAGAAGTGGGCGGCGGTGGGGGTGCGGCGGCCCGGGCCGCGGCCTTCTGAGCCTCCTTGCTGTCCTTGTCCACATGCATGGTCACCTGCGCATGCATCACGGAGATTGGGGGGAGGGAAGCACAACGGTACTGGCGGGGTTCGTATCGGCTGATGCACTAAAAAACACTGTCGATGGGAAGGTGCGTGTTCTTGTGCTTGAGCTTGTATGTATGTATGTATGTATGTATGTATGTATGTATGTATGTATGTATGTATGTATGTATGTATGTATGTATGTATGTATGTATGTATGTATGTATGTATGTGCGTATGTACGTATGCATGTGTATTGTCATGTGGAAAGGCGGGGGGGAAAGAGAGGACATATGCAGGCACGACAGGCCAAGCATGTCGGGTGGAGGGCCACGTGCGCGTGCCATGTAGCTCCGGATAAAATCTCCTTATCCCCCAACCGGATTTCTCCCCCAACCGTTAAGCTACAGTTGCTCCGCCTTCCATGGTGTGTTCGATGGCGTTTCCTCCGTACAGCCCCCCCCCCTAGGTTAATTGCCGTACAGATCCCTCGCAAAGAGACTGACCGTGTCAAATCCCCGGGATTTCCTCTCCTACTCCACAACGCAGATTGTACTCATCACTGTGATGCCCCTGTTCGCGGTGTTCTTTCTTATCCTCAAACCCGATGGACTGAGATGGACGCAGTGCATGCATGTGCAGGTGCACGGTATAACTACTACCGGTAGTAGTTATACCGGTAGCATATTGCCCATGTGCTCAAAGCCCACAATCTACGGGTACGCCGGGGCCCCCAACCAACCAACCAACCAACCAACCAACCAACCACTCCCAGCCCAGCCCGCCACAGCCAGTAAGGCCTACCTGTATATCTCTGCCGGCAAATCGCCGTACCTCCGTAACCGCCACCTTGCCCAACCGGGACCCCGCCGTCGTCGTGTCACGTGCCGCCGCCAGCGCCGCCGCCGCCAGCGCGCGCTTCTCCTCCTCTGAAGCCACTGGGCCCGGTGTACCGCCGCGGGACGACAGCGGCGAGGCGCTGCCGCTGGCGGCTGCGGCGGTCAGCGGCTGCGGCTGCGGCGGCGACAGGCCGTTGGAAACCCCCGGCTCGGCGTCCCCCGGCCTGAGGGAGGACGCCACGTCGGCGGGCTTCGTGGGCCTTTTGAGCAGGCCCAGGTTGCGCATCCAGATCTGCGCACGTCGGGGCGCGCACATACGTACATACGTACGCACGGAAGGGACGACTGTTGTTGTAACGGAAACGGATTGTCCCACCAACAAGAATTCTTCTTACTTACACAAGCAAACAAGTAAACGAAACGAAGGAAAGAAAGAGAGAGAGAAAGAAAGGGGCAGAAATCCAAATCATGATGGTACAAATCGATGGCAACGGAATGAATAGCAATACTAAAGGGGTCAGTATCAGTTCCATCAAGTTGAGGAACCCGGCTCGACACTTAGTCACGTGAAGCCCCAGACCCTCCCTTCAGCCACGCCACCACCATACCAGCACCACCACACCCACCGCGTCCTGGTCAGCTCGTTTGGGTTTCTTAGCTCCCAGATTTGAGCGACACAGCGCTGCCAAGTTCACCGCGGAGGAGGGCGGACGCTGCGTTGCGCTGCCATTGGCCGCAGCCCGCGCGTTGATCTGCTGCCACAGAGACGCCACCTTGGCCTGCTTGGCCAGTGCGCTGGGGTCCAAGTTCTGCGGACTGGCCTCCGCCGCCTCGTTGCCGTCGTCATCATCATCGCCGTCATCACCGCCATCGTCAGCGTCATCATTGCCGGCGGTGGCTGCGATGGCCGCGCCGCGCCTGCGCGCGTGTGTGGCATCAAGCCGGTAGCAGGTCGGGTCAAGAGGAGCGACGAGCGCGGGGGAAAGGAGGGGGTCATGGGGGGGGGGTAGTGGTTAGGGGCTAGAGCTGTGGGACTCGGGAACGTCCACTTTCATTTAGAAAGATAGCACACAAGGGCTTGCAAATTTATGATTGTGAATGTTATGTGCATGGGAAGTTGTAAGCCTGTGCGCAGATTGGGATCAGCTGAAAGGCGGGTGCTCAGGCTTAATGCAGGTTAGGATGTGGGGCGCTCCCCTGGCGATGACACGGAGACCCCAGCCAGGGAAAACCGCGCAACCCATGGCTTCCTCTTAACCTTCGTGAGCGCCCCAAAAATGTGAGGGCACACGGACTGAAGGATTGCATCCCAGTTGGTGGTAAAACTTCTATTACATTTGTCCGCGCAAACCCAGGGAATTACTACCTGCGCTTTCTACTTGCGCCGCCGCGACCTGGGCCACCTGTCTGAGGTAAGTCCTCGCGCTCAGCGGTGTTGTCCGCAGCAGGGTTGTAATCGTCGTCCTCTTCGTCGTCAGAAGGCAGTGCGGTGTTCAGGAAACCCGCCATCGTAACCCCTTATGGAAGCTAGCGGAATTACTCCCTTTGAGGAATATACAGCGTCTATGCAGCACTGTAGACTCCGAATCGCTATGGCTCAGCACCTCAGCATATGGGCTCAAAGCAACGCCTGATCAGCAGTGCCCTAACGCAATCTAATGTACCGATTCTTGAATCCGCAAGTGTTCACGCATACTGAAAGAAAGGAAGAGGCCCCTCTAGCTGTTTCAGCGTCGCAGCTCCGGAGCCGTACGCATACGGCAACACCGTTTGACGACCCCCCATCCATAGCTGTGCCAAAGCTTCAGACAGGTAATGAATTTTCCGAATGTACTGTTATGTATGTTCTCGTCAAAATTATTTTGCTTATGATAACGTGCTCAATCTGTAACATAAGAAACCTTACATAGCAGGTCATCTTGAGGAGTGGAACATAGCTGCCGCTGAACACTTAGTGTGATAAAGCAGTACCTGTCCAACACATTTTATTGGATAGCAGGCGTGCGGACACAAGTGACCTAGTCAGCAAGCCCTTGTTTCGGCAGACCTCTTCGCATGCATTACCTTATGTAATGTTTTATGTATATCAACAGTTACATGGCGAGGCAGCCTGTAATATCTAGCTGGTTGCAGCTTCCCCTTATTTAAAACGCCGACCAGGTTCTAACGATGGAGTACGCCGAATATGACACAGAAGGTAGCAAATGGTTCCGCCTTTGGGTAATACCCACCCGCATTTGACAATAGCACCTCTCGTGCTCTGCGCCAATCTATGCGCATCTGTGCTATGACTGCTTCTGTCTTATTTCGCGCTGAGAGGGAAAACCTGCCTTGGGATGAGCATCGTGCAGCTCGTGACGCGCAGGGCCCAGTCTTGCGGGGGCTTGTGTTGTGCCAACACGCGATACGCTGTTCGGCTCACCACTTTACTCACCACCTGAGCCCATAGCTTCCGAGTTGGGTCGTCAGCATGCTCATGCTCCCCAACTCCAATTCTCCTTCATAGCGCCCTCGTTGCCGCCCATCTGGGTTTCTATTCAACACATCTCACACAACATTTCAGCCCTATTAATACACAGCCCCATGCCGCCGTGTTATCCCGGGGTTAACCCGGCCCTTCCCCCTCCCCTGACAACACGTGCCCGTCGCCGCCCCTCCCCCTCTCCTCTCTCCAACACTCTCAAACTCGCCGTATTCCCCAAACCGCAGTCCGCTTCTCCTACCATCGTTACCCATCCTCTGACGGCACCGAGGCACCACCAGCGCACCGCCACAACGTCGATGGCGAGGACACCGAGGATGATGAAGGCGACAGCGACCCGGGAATCATCGGCACGCTGACTTCGATCCTCGTGGGGGGTGTCGCCGACCTCCTGACCGATTTATCGCCACATCCTTCACGCGCTACCACCACCGCCGCTAGTGCCAGCACCGCTACTGCCGCGCGCCGATACGCGAGCACCCATAGCTCCAATGACGGCACATTCAGCAAACCCGTCGCGGCGGACAGCTCCTGGGCCACCGCGCAGGCGCCACCCGCCGCCCACCGCCGCAGCACACGGGCCTGCTCGCTACCGGAACCTATTGCCGGCGACCACAGCGGCGGCGGCGGCGGCGGCGGTTCGGACCACTTTACGCCGCGGACGGCGGAAGCTCAATGGCTGAAGTCAAGCCGCAGTCTCGGCCGCGGCGATGTCGGTGGTGGTGACGACGGGGCCGGCGGCGGTGGCGGTAACTGGGTGTTCCCGCCGCAGCACCGTACGCGGCCCGTGACGGCGCCCACGGGCGCGCCGCCGTCAGGGCGGAGCCGTTCAGGTGTCAGCGGCGATGCGGCGGTGTCGAATAGCCTGGTGGGGTCGCCTACAGGCGGCGGCGACGGCGGCGGCTCGACAGGACTGCTTGGCGCGGTAAGCTGTATAGCAGAACCGAACAACAATGGGCGGGGTGTGTGCGTATGTATGTCTGTATGTATGTGTGTATGCAATACAAGGAGCTGAGTCGCGAGAAGGAAGTGTGGGCGACGGTGTGGTTATGGTGTGGCCTTCTCTAAAGTGTGTGTGGTTCGGAGTTCTTTAGAGGTGGCGGTGGCGGCTTTTTCTCTTAACATGGTTGAGGTTATGGTGGTGAAGGGCGGGAAGAGGTCATGGCGTTGGGTGATTTGGAGCCTTGATCTGGGTCCTTTGGTGTGAGCAGTGGCGAGTGCTGAGGACTCTGCTAACAAAGTCCGTTTGACTTTGGTCCGCTTTGTCGGGCAGGGCACCTGCATTGAATGCAACCCCCCTGCTCCCCCCCCCTTCCGCCTGGGGGTCTAGCCCAGTGCAGTCCTACTACTGATGTATACTACTTATGTGGAAGCAATAGTATTGCTCTCTTTCATTTCCCTGCATTGAATCGCCACATCCCCCTGCACTGAACTTCTGCTGCCTTCTCGTCGTGGACCCGCCATCGTACGGCGGGCGTCGTACTACGGTGACTTGTTGTACTACGCTGTTCCTTAGATGTTGACGGGTTTCAGCTCTCTAGGTCAGAAGGCCACTGACCTGCTGACTCAGCTAGATCACGATTTTGAAACTATTTTTAACGGCGTCCTGGAGGGTGACCCCGAAGCCGAAGGGGGCGGATCTGGGGAGTACGACAGGGAGAGCAGCGCAGGGGTTAACGGAGGGCCCAGGAAGGGCTCCGAAGGTCGGCGGCACAGCTGCAGCAGCGGCGGCGGGGCCGGCGGCGGCAGCGACGCCGCGGACGGGCGCCCGTCCGGCAAGAGCAATCCAGCAGCAGCCAGGGGCGGGCGTATCAGCAGTACCGGTACGGCACAGATGCCGCCGCCGTATAGCGCGGCGGCAGTGGCTGGCGGCAGGACGGCTGTCGTTACCGGCGCCATGCCATCGGCTGCGAAAGCGTCTTCCGCAGCGGCAACTCGCACGACGCCAATGCCGCCGCCAGTCTCCAGGAGTAGTGGCGGAGGTGCTGCTACCGCCGCCGCCAGCGGCGGCGGCGGCGCCGCCGGCAGGCGCACCGGTAGTGTTGTGAAGGGCCGTAGCCACAAGTTGGACCTCGCGAGATCGAGTGGCGGCGCCGCCGCCGCTTGGGCGAAGATGGAAGATGACGATGACAGCTGGGGCTGGGGCACCTGTGATAAAAAGGTCGCGGGGGCTGGCGGCGTGCAAGGGGAGCCATCTGGGTCGGGGCGTGGGCCAGCGGCGCCGCCGCCGCCGGCGTCAGCGGCGGCGAATACGAAGACGAAGTCAATGACGATCACGAAGACGACATCAATGGCGAATGCGACGGCGAAGGTGACGACGAAGGTGACGGCAAAGCCGCAGCCGCAGGCGGGGGCGGCGACGGCGAAGGCCGCGGCGGGAGGACCACCGCCCGCATTGCAGCCGTTGACTGGCCCTGGAATGAGTACGGCAGCGCTGGCACCATCGCCTGCCAGGACGCGGAGCTGTCGGTCCGTCAGCGTGTCAGTCTCTGCTGCCGCCGCGCTGACGTCACCGCCACCGTCGGCGTCAGCGTCAGCGTCAGAGTCGCGAACCAATCGCAGCGGCGGCGGCAAGCTGATCATTATTAAGCCCGCTGCCGGGACCGCAACGTCGCGGACGCAACCAGGAACAGGTACATCAGCCAAATGTACGACAGCAGCAGCAGCGGCCGTCGCCGTCGCCGCGGCCCGTAGCTCGTCGGTGGTGCCGTCGGCGCCTACGAAGTCCATTACCAGAGCCGCCGCGGCAGCGTCGCCGCCAGGATCTCCGGCACGGCAAGCCATAGTGTCGCCGGCGGGGTCTCCATCGTCACCAGGCTGTAGAACAGCTGCCGGTGTGACCGTCAGCGACAAGGCGGTGGCTGTTGTGATGACCAGCAAGGTTCTGCCCTCCCGGGAGCCATCTTCTCCGGACCGGCGACACCCCCCCAACGACCACAACAAGGGGCCCTTCACTCATCCCACGCATGACCCCACGCAACAACATCAGCGGATCCACGCCTCGGCCGCCGCCGCGGCCTCCGAGGACTCCTCGGCGACGGCGGCGGCTGCCGCCGTCGCCGCGGCTGTTACCTCGGGCGGCAGCGGCAGTAACCACGACATGGCGGGGTTTACGTCGGAGGCTAAGGTGGCGGCGGCGGCGGCGGCGGCGGTAACGAAGCAGCAGGCGGAGCTCCGTGAGGAGCTGGAGGAGGAGCGCCGCCGCGCCGATGCCGCGGAGGCGAGGTGCGCGGAGCTGCAGCAGCAGCTGGACGCGGCGGCGGCGGAGGCGGCTCGTCTGAGCGAGCTGGCGGACGCCCTGGGGGAGCAGCTGGCGAGTAGCGAGAAGCGCGCCGCGGACCTCGCGAAGGTGCGGGAGCCGCGTGTCATCAATTGCTGTTTGTGTCGTGAATTTATTTGTTGTGAGAAACCGCCCAACATAACCCCCGCCTAAACCTAACCACGGCTGTCCATTGGTGGTGGTGCTGAACAAGGAAATGTTTGTGTCGGTGGTGGTCCTGGTGCTAGTGCTGGAAATGTCGGTGATGGTGATGGTGGTGGTGATGGTGGTGGTGATGGTAGTGGTGGTGGTGATGGTGGTGGTGATGGTAGTGGTGGTAGGTACGAGGCGTTGGCCGTCCTCGGTGTGTGTCGTGGACACGCCAGGGAAAAGGGATAAACACACACATAGTGTACGGGAAGGATGTGTCGTACTGTAAGCTGTGACTTGTGAGGCTGACGGTGTACCCGCCATTGCTGCAGGAAAACGGGAGCCTGCGCGCTCCTGCAAGAGCCACCGTCGCTACAGCTGACGCCGCCTGCTCTCCCGTACCAATTGCTGTCGCCGCCGCCGCCGCCGCTGCCGCCGTACCCGCGGAGGCTTCCATGACGGCCTGGAGCCCTCACCCTCATCCGCACCCGGGCCATCCTCGTTCTCACCACAACTACCCCCACTCGGGGCCTGCTCCAGGGGGGAGCCATAGCTACAGCCGCAACGGCAGCCGCGCACACAGTAGACAGCCCAGCTGTGGCAGCATCGCTTGCGACGGCGGCCCTGGCGGCGCCGCCGCTGGTAGCTACGGCCACGGCGGCGGCGGCGGTGGCGTCAGCGATGAGTTGGTTGAGGCGGCGTTGGTGGCCCAGCTGACGGCGGCGCTGGCGGAGAAGGCTCGCCTGTGTCGAGAAAACGACCTGCTCACTCGGAAATTGGAGGGACTGCAGGTGCGGAAGGGGTGTGTGTGAGTATGTATGTGTATGTGTGTATGTCTGTGTGTGTGTCTGTGTGTATGTCTGTATGTGTATGTGTATGTGTGTGTGTCTGTGTGTGAAAGCGGGAGGACGGCGCGGGTGAGGGAAGACGATTGGGTTTGGGAGGAGAGGGGGTTGGGGAAGCGCCAAGGGAGTTTGTCCAGTTCCCCGGCCGATCATGGCGCTTAGGCGCAGACCTACCTGATATCGCGTGACGTCACCTGCTGCGTTGCTGGTGCCCCTGGAGTCCTCAACGGGGATGGCCGCGCTCACTGCCATCGCCTGACGCCGCCCATCTTGTGCTCCATTCAGGAGCTGCTGTCGTACACTGCACAGCATGCAACGTATGCACATGGGGATGGTGGCATTGCCGACGACGAAGGCTACGGTTACGACGGCTTGGACGGCGCTGCGTACGATACCACGTACTGGCAGTACGATGATTTGTCGACGACGCCGCTGACGCGGCCGCCAGATGCGGCGGCAGCGGCGGCGGCGGCGCCGCCGCCCCCGTCACCGCCCCCGGGGGTTGCTGTCGGCTCCCCTTCTGGTAGCGGCGGGAGGCCTTCGAGCTCGTACGGCGATCTTCTGTACGACTTTCGCGATGGCTGCCAGCGCCACGTCGGCGCCAGCGGTCCTATCTCCTGGGGTACCCCCGAGCCACCAGTGCCAATTTACAAAACCCGTCAAAGAAGGAGCAACGCCGTGGCTGGCTTCGAAACCCATTCGGCTCTAAGCGACAGGAGCCCGGCCAGCGGCGGCCGCATCGGCGTCTTGGAGTTTCCCCCCCCAGATGGGTCCCCGCTCCTAGGACGCCGTACCGGCGACGGCGACGCATGCGGCGACGGCCAGTCCACCGATGCGGTGCGGACGTGCCGCGCCGCCGCCATGTGCGCTGGCGGCGGCGCTGTTGGCGGCGGTGAGGAGTGGCGGCCGGCGGCAGACCTGCCGGCGAATGACGGCCAGGAAGGTGCCAGCGAGCAGATGGAAACATGTAAAGAGGCTGAGGCTGGGCGCCACACCTGGCAGGAGCGGCGGCCGGTCCGCGCGGGCACGCCTTCGTCCCCTCAGCAACTGCCACATGGGCAGCAGCAGCATGGGCATGGGCAGCAGCAGCAGCAGCAGCAACAGCAGCAGGACGGCCGGGGTCGGGAGGAGATGGGGGCCCGGCAACCGGAGGAGGAGGAGCGCCAGCAGCAGCTGCAGCTGCTGCTGCTGCTGCCTTCGTCGCCGCCGCCTGAGCCACCGTCACAGCCGTCGCCGTCGTCGCCGCCGCCGCCGCCAGCTCGGACCGGTAGCTATCCCGACGGGTGGGAGCTGCTCGACGAGGAGGGAGAGGTGGTGGTGGCGCTGCCCCCACCGCCGCCGCCAGCTCTAAAGCGCAGCTGCGGAGGGACACCGGCGGCGGCGCCGCCGCTCCAGCGGCGGCCATCTGTTGGTACGGCAAGCACATCCAGTAAGGCGGCGGGCGCTGTCGCCGCTGACGCAGCGGCGGCTGACACTGCTGCCAGGCCGGCGGTGTCAGCCGCCGCCGCCCCCATGAAGGAGCGGACCAACATTCCAACTGGGCCTTGAGGGAGCTGGCTGCGCTGTACGCCACACGCGGTGTGGCGTACACGCCGTGTGGCGTGTGCGCCTGCATGTGCGATGCGGTGGATTGCTGCCCCCAAACCCCTGTATGGCACCGCCGCTGGTACCGCCGCTACCGTTGGCGCGGCCGCTACTGCCGCCGCTACTGTTGATGCACTCTTCCTGCCCGCGCTATATTGATGAAACTGGCTTTTTCTTGGATTGTCAGTTTTTCGAGTTTGCTGTTCAGTTTAATGCAGATGTTTTTGCGGTTGTGTTGTTTTGTATCGTTGTGGTGATGTGTGTGGTGGCGGGCCCAGACGGCTGGCTGGCTGATGGGTGGCCTACCTCCCGAAGCCGTTTGAGAAATGCACGTGGGCGATGCAAATGGGGGCAACGACTTGCAAATGTACAGTACTGAGGTTGCCGTACGGTAGTTGAGTGACGTCGTACCCTAAGTCCGTTGGATAGTTAAAAAGAGTGGAGAGCGATGTGTAGGACAGAAGTAAAAAGACAGAAGAATGGATTGCTTAAAAAGCGATACGATGATTAAATAATTTAGTTGGGCTCGGGCACACTAAATTTCCGCACGGGTAACGATTTGGAGAAGAAGGGTAGAAGGGATAAAAGGAGGACAGAGATAAGAAGGACCCGGAGATTACAGGATGTGAAGTGCGAAGGGGATTATGGATGGATGGCTTGAAGAGGCGCCTCCTCCTCGTTCGCCCCCAGAAGCGGTTTCCCTTCTCGCCCCCACCGCTTCTCTTCTCCTCTTCCTCTTCTCCCGCGTCCCTCCCGTTATCCAGATGTAGATAATACGACCTGATGACGACATGATGATGATGGCTCCCCTCCCCTCCACAACGCAAAGAACAACAGGAGAAGCCAAAGCGCTGTGGGATGGCACATGGAATATGAACCGTCTCGGGCGCGGTGTGGGTCAGTGGTGTCTGATGTGGGTCGTTTTTGGTGTTTTGGGGGGCTGAGGGGGTATTTTTGGGGGATGGGGGGTTCCCCGGGAAAAGAGGGAATACCACCATCGAGTCGGGTTCCGAACTCCAACTCCCTCCAGCCAGCTGTTTGTTCGTCCGTTGGCCGGCCGTTCAGTGACTTCTTTCAGGGGCTAGAGCGACACCGAGCACATCTCGGCCTGTGGCCTGGCCGCACATTGGGCAGGCGAAGCGCCGGTGGCATCCTCGCCGTCATGTAGTCGTGTTGGTAATAGTAGTAGTAGTATTATATTGTAGGACGGAGTAGTTTGCGCTCTGATGCCGCATTCCTGTTTTTCCTTTTGTGCCATCACCGCAAAGTCCTCTTTTACTTGGGCAGCATTTGGAAAACATATCGATGATTCGCTTCGCTGTGGTTATAGAATAGAAGAATAAAATAGTGTTAGGTAGCTGCCTAGCTGGGGCGCGCTGCGTATGCCAAGATTGCAGTATATACGATTTCCTGTCCGTGTTCTCCGTCAGCCTTTGCGGGGGATTAATGTACGTGTGTGTGTGCGTGTCCGTGTGTGTGTGTATGTGTGTGTGCGTGTGTGTATGCGTGTATCTGTGTGTGTGCGTGTGTGTGTTTCTCCTTATCGGTTGTAGCACTCTGCTTTGAGGTTCTGGTGGATCAGGTAAAGGCGTCTGGTCCACAGCTGCTAAAGCCGCAGGCGCGACCATATCCCGGTGGCCGGCTGATGTCACCTGTTCGACCCCAACTGCGGCCAACATGCGTGTACATCATCGCCAGCCACAAGAGCACCGTTAATGCAGCGCCACGCACGCGCAGATATGCACAGCGGCGGAAGGCACCGTATTACTTTGTATACGGCATCGGGTACGGCGTGTTCCCGCTGTGTATGTGCACAGTGTACACAGGAGTTTGGAAGGGGCCGGAAGCGGTGGCCATGAAACATTTTCTTGGGGAATGGCTGCGGGGGAAGGGGAGGGCGGGAGGGAAAGGGGAAGGGATGCGGTCGACTGGGTGCACTGGGTGTCTCAGGCCGTTGGGGGGACTTCATTCACATGCGGCGGCCGCTTTGGTGATGCCACGGTGTTCACCTGTTAGGTTCTAAGTTGATTGGAGTGTGGGAGGTGTGTGATGTTTTGTTGAACTGTCGTCTTTGGGTGCCTTGGCCTGCGCCTTGGCCGGCGTGTACTTCACGGCCTGCTCGAGAAAGCGGGTCGGCGTGTGCCGGTGAGGATGGATTTCGTGTTTGGTGTTGCGGTTTCCTCAAAATCCTTTTCTATTTTGCTCATGTTGTGTGGTGTTGTTGCATTGCTTTTCCTTTTCGTGCCGTGGACCCCGTTCCAGCTCGTGAATTTGCGGCGTCGGTATATGTATATATACATGAATGTATAAAGAGTATGGATTCTGGGTGTGTGCGTGCGTGCCTGCTGTGCGCGTGCATATAGTAGAAATAGCACCCACCAAAAGCACCCACCACATGGCTGGTGTATTCTTTTTTTTCGTACGGGGTCCACATTACACACAATCGCAGACACATACACGCATATGCATACGCACATATGCGTCAAACGCCTCACTTAAACAGCGTATGACAACATCCGCGTCCCCTCATTTTGAGGGGTATTTAAAAAACATTTTCGGTGCATGGAAAAGGAAAGCCCAGAGCCACTCCATGGCTTCCTGGGCTGCGCAGAGGGGAACAGCAGCAGCAGCACCACCACCACCACCATGGCAGTGAAGCTACGGCCGGGGGGGGAGAAAGAGGGGGAGAAAGAGGGGGAGAAAGAGGGGGAGAAAGAGGGGGAGAAGGCGCACGCGCGCAGCTATCGGTTCGCCCGTCCCTCGTCTCTTGACCATTTTCATCATTTTGGTCGCTACCGCGTCAATACCCCCCGAAATGGAAGCACGGGGACCCAGCTGGCGTTGCCGTACATGAATTATGAATGGAATGAAGGGCAGACGCAAGGTGGTCGTAGTGGACGGTCATGCGTGGCTCTCGCTCCGGAGCCCATTTTGACACGTTGGCCGTTGCGAGAGCCGGTTCCAACCCCACTTCACCGTCTTCGCGTGTCATGGTGCGCCCCTGCTCCTTTTCTTCCCCCTCCTTCTCCTTCTCCACTATTTCCTGCTGCTCGCGCTGCTATCTTGACGTGGCTGCAAAATTCGAGATTCGAGAGGCAAGCAACAAGAAATAATGTGTGTTGTTCTGCAGCGCTGCAGCTTGCAAAAATTTATGGCTGGCGTTGGCTGTCGTGATGGAGACCTCACAGCCCACGGGGTTGGGGGAAAAGGATCCGTGGTGGGGCTCTTATGAGTCCACGAAAGAAAGGCGCACTCGGAGTCCCTGGCAGTAAGCACTGTAAGTAGGAAAGGAGGCGAGTAATGCGCACAGAGAGGCGTGCTCGTTACCTTGTAATGAGGTTGTAACCTTGTTAAAAGGTACAAGTTCCCGCGCAAGAGGGACGGCCTTCCTAAGAGCAGGTGAGAGGGACCATGCACAATCGTTTGTGAGTGAGCATTTCGGCGCCGAGTGAGGGTTTTACCGACTGGCAAGGAGCGACCCGCGGGTCATATGACGGCAAGCCTGGCCTGTCAAAGCCGCTGCGACCTCGGTTGACAGCCTTGGGGTCCGCAGCCTTGCCTCCGGTCCGAGGCCAAGGCAAAACGATGGACAAGCAGACAGGCAAACACAAGCACTGCGCACTCCAAAGACGCCTAAAGCCTTAAAAGCTAGCTTTCTCTCTTTTTGAACCTTCAAGATGAGTAAGCTTTGACCTCGGCAGAAATGTACCCATGTGGCATCCACGCTCACTCACTCACTCACACACTCACACTCACTCACTCACATTGCCTCGCCTCTAGGACTAAGGTCACAGGTCCCCAGGGCTAGCTAGGAATCGCTCCGCACCTCGACGCTTACACACTTCTACACATAACATAGCACATCCTCCTGCGGGCGGGCGAGACGGGCGGTCCCGGGCCGCATTAAGTTGATTAAGTTGAACATCGCGAGGGAGCTACGTTCCTGGACCCCTCGCTGCTATGCCGCAATAAACCGGGGGGTAATGACCAAGCCGCTGCCAAGCCGCTGCCTACGCGCCATCTAGGCTAAGTCAGGCGCAGCAGTAGCGACATCGGCACCGGCACCACCCCCGATCCGCAAAAGCCCGATCGGTAAATCGGTCGGCCTGCCGCGGGCGCGCGCGGTTGCAACAGCACATCCGGATCCAAGGTTTGCCGCTGGTTGTAGACCAGCCAGACACCACAGCACAGTCGCAGAGCCTCTCCCCAGCCACCCAGCCACACCACCCACCGTGCCACGAGCACCATCCAGAATCCCATGTCCCCTGCCGGGACCTGCCCACCTTGACAGGCGCAACCTCTCTCTCCCTGCTTAAACAGGAGGGAGGAGGAGGGAGGAGGAGGGAGGAGGAGGGAGAAAGAGGAAAGACGCCGCCACCGGGGCAGACAGAGTAGAGACCTCTTGAGATTCAAACGTGTATTTGAGGCGCCGAACGGGCTTCCAAAATCGATCCGTGGAATCCAGGATCCATCCAGGAAGTACGGGGCATCAAACGGAGCATGAGCAGGCAGTTCTGTGAGAGAATCCGTGAGTTGTATGGCAGCGACGAAGCGTCAGACTGCATCGTCCGTTTCTACCTGTCGCCGTACGAGCCCATCCTCGGAGGTGACTCAGACGACTGTGATGACGGCGACGGTGACGGTGGACGTTGCGATGGATATGAGGAGATGGGTGGTCGGGGCGGCGGTGATAGCGGCGGCGGCGCCGCTGCTGCTGCAGCGGCGGCCGTGATTACGGCGGCGCCGCCACTGTTGCCGCCGCCATCCGCCGTTCGTTTCGTGGGCCAGCCGCTGCCAGCTCACAGTTTGGTGTTGTGGGCCAGCTCAGAGCGATTTAGGGCTCAGTTGGATCGCTGGCGGGGCGGCGGCAGCGGAGACGCTGGCGACGGCAGCGACGACGGCGTCGGCTGCTGCTGCTGCTGCGGCGGCGGCGGCGGCGCCAGCAGCTGCAGACATGTAGCGGCAACGGTGACAAGACCGCGGGCAGGGCCTCAGGAAGTGTGCGACAACCAACAGCACCAAACGAACGGACGGGAGCGGTTTGGTGGGCAACTGTGTGTACGGCAACCACAGGTGTCGCACCATAATAGACTTGAGCTCTGCATTCCGCTCGGATGTAAGGAGGACCTGTACGGCAATCTGGCGGCGCTTCAGTACATGTACACGGGAGAGCTGCGGGGATGCGGCGGCGGCGGCGGCGCCGCCGCTGCAGCTGGCTTCAGCGTGGCCGAACTTTTGGCTATCCGGAGTCAAGCGACTTACCTCCAGGTGGGACGTCGTAACAACGCAAGGCCCATCTGAGCATCCCGGGTTACGCCTTTGCTGTGTTACAAACGTGCTGACAATACCTCCCCTTCCATCCTCCCCCTCCCCCCCGACACCTTTCGCTGGTGTATTCAAAGTAGCAACGGGTTGTTGCTGGGGAGAACAAACCGCAACGGGTCGCAATGAGCTCTGAGAACTCCGTTGCGCTGCGTTTCCGCCCCTGCCGCCCAGGTCGAAGGCTGTGCTGAGGCATGTGACCGGGAGCTGCTCCACCTGTTGACGGAGCTGGCGCCTCCTTCGAGCACCAACGCTGCCAGCGGCTCCCAGGCTCAAGGGGCTGCTCAAAGCTCCGGCGGCGGAAGCAGCGTCAGCATCAGCGGAGGTGGCAGTGGCGGGACCAGTGGCGGCTGTACATCCTTTAACGGCCGAGCCGCCGCCGCCGCCATCGGTGTGATCTTGGGGGGCCCCGGTGCAGCAGTCAGCGCAATCGGCGGTGGTAGGGATAATGTACGGGCGTACGGCCGCAGCGGCGGCGGTAATGGGGGAGTCGACAGCGTTGAAGCTTCGGCCGCTGCCGCCGCTGCAGCTATCCGGGAAGGCGTCGTACCTGTGCTGCAATTCGCGGAGCGTTGCCCTGCCGCCGCCGCCGCCGCCAGCTTTGTGCAGGTCGTCGATGCCTGCCGCCGGCACCTCGTGTCGCACTTCTCCGAAGTGATAACCATACTCAACTCGCCGTCTCTGCGACGCCAGCTTGCGGCGCTACCCTCGTGTGCGCTGGAGCTGTTGCTTGGTTGTAGCAGCCTTCGGGCCGATAGCGAGGCGAGTGTGCTACAGCTCCTGGCGGTATGGCTGGCCGCAAATCCCTCGACTCCGCCGTCACGTTGTACGGCACTATGCCGTCGAATTCGCGCAGCGCACTTGGGTCGGACGTACCTGGCGTTTGTGCTTCCGTGCGTCGACTGGTGGCCCATGGGACATAGGCAGCAGTTGCGCACACTGCACCTCGCCTCCGCCACGGCGGCGGAACGCCGTGCACTGTCGGAGCTGGCGGCTGCGGCGGTTGCGTCCGCGGCGGTGGCGGCGATAGCGGTAGCGGCACCAGTGGACGATTGCCATTATGAGGCGGCGGCGGAAGTGGACAAGACGAAGGGGGACGACGGCGGCGGCGACGCCGACGCTTGGAGCTGCGCGTCGCCGCGCGACCCCAGCAACACCGTTCACATGTTCCGATGGAATCTTCCGCGTAAGGCCCTCATAGATGCCATTTGCAGCGGCGGCGACGCCGCCGTAACGTTTGACGGCGGTATGGAGGCCGTGTCATTTGGTGGTTTTGAGTGGAGCGTGTTTGTAAAGCCGCCGAGGAGCGACGGCTGCAGCGGCGGTGACGGGGATGATGGCAGTGGAGAGGGCAGCAGTGGTGGCAGCATCTTAGCCGCCGCCGCTGCCGCCACTGGCGCTGGCGGCAGACGCGCGTGTACCGCAGCCGCCGGAGTGTATCTAATCTGCAGCGTGCCGGCGGAAGTTGAGAATGGTTATCAGTGCGCGGAGGCCCCGGGCTCAGGGGGCTTCAGCGCAAAAGCCGCTCCCGCCGACGGCGGCGGCGGCGGCATTGTCGGTGGTGGCGGCTTGGCAGGTGCCCAGGTTCGACGCCTTACCCGGAAGCGGATCTCTGGCATCACGTCCGTTCCGTCCGCGTGCATCGAGGTCTTTCGCGGACGGTCTCTCCCGGCGCAACACGCGGCACAAATGGCGCCGCCGCAGTGGCGGCGGCGGCCCGTAACGGCGCTGGCGGCCGCCTACAGAGGCGGAGGCTCCACCGCCGCCGCCACAGCTGCCGCCGCCCGCAGCGCGATCTGGGGTTCCTTGCTGGCGGAGCTGTCAGACCCAGACTCACCGAGGGCAGCGGCAGCAACGCTGCCGCCGCCGCCGCTGCGCCTTCATCCCGTGAACGGCAACGGCGGCGGCGGCCCGGAGGTGGCGGCTGTGGTCAAGTTTGGACCAAACGAGGTGTTCAAATTTGGACCGAGTGCTCCGGGCCGGGGCATCTGCGACGTGTTGGCACTGCGCAGTCGGGAACGCGATGCCGGGCATGCCACCGAACTGTCACGGAGTGTTCGCGGCGGCGGCGGCGGCGGCGGTAATGCTGCTGATGGCGGTGGCAGTGTATCCGGTTGGGGCAGTGGTGGCGGCGGCGGCCGCGGCTGCGGCGGCGGCACCACCACCCTCCGATCGACGACGGCATCGGCATCGGCAGCCGACCTCGAGGACCTCCGAAACCACCAGCTGGCGGCGTGGCTGCCGTATCTGCATCCCCTGGAGGCCTTTGACGACGGCACGGCAGGAGGCGGCCTGGCGGGAACGCTGACACTGCGGTCGCGCTGAGTCCATATTCACCAGTACCGACTCGCTTAGATCCAGTGTGGGTGCCGCTGTTTTTGTCTCTGTCTGTCTGTTTGTCTGGGAGATTGATGGCAAGCGTGGTGGTGTTTGGATGCTAACTGCTCGGCTGGAGGCTGGTGAGGTGGGAGACGGTGTTGGCGAGGAAAAGGGGGGAGAGCGGGACGCAGGGGTGTAACTGGAAGTCCATCTGCACTGCCGTACACCTACGAGAAGGTTGCAACTTTGAGTCTGCCGGTGTGCCGCGGATAAGCGCGACGGGATCACTACTGGTATGGCATGGTATTAAGGGGGGGAAAAGAGGGGATTTAAACGACTGTGTACGGAGAGGACATTGAGTGTAGGGGTGAGTAGGACGAGCAAGATCCAGGTTATCTCCCCAGCCAGGCTAATGAATCCAGGTTTGGAATACTGTACGGTGGATCGTACGGGGTTGATTTCAAAGGAAGGGATGGCTGGCACATCTCGACACTCGTCACTCGACATGTACGGCGGTTCGGAGAGATTGGAAGACACGTGTTGCCCTCGTGCGATGCACGAGGCCCGGTTTGACGCGTGCTGAAATGTGTTAAGTTGATTGTTAGTTAATTAATACCCCTTTCCATGTGTCGGTGTGAACATGCACGTATGTGTGTGGGCACACATACACATATGGTCTCATGTGTATGGGCTAACACTCAACTTTGGACCATATGTGCCTGTGTGTGTGTGTGTGTGTGTGTCAAGCCAAAGTCAACACTACCAGGAGCTTCGTTTTGGTGTCGACACCAGGCGATTGGGTGTTCGGAAGGCCGTTCAGAAGCCGTTTGCCGTTAGACGGTGTAGTCCGCCCTGCCATCATGGCGCGGTGCGGTGTGGTGTGTGGGGGGGGGGTCCGTAGGTTTGGTGTTTGGGTTTTGAAGCCAACAGGGGGCGATACGGGGGGGGGGAAATGTTGTGCGTCACCAGACATAGGAGTGGTGGACGTATCCTGACGGCGGCGGCGCCCAACAGTCCAGTACAAACCAAGGAACCAAGGACTGGCCAACTGCTGCGCTGTTATGTATAGACACAGAATGAGTACGTGTGAATGTACGGAACCCTAAGTTAATGAATGACTGAATGATCGTGACACAGAGCGGATGGTTTCTGGGCCATTTTGCAAGTGAATATTTATTGGTCTGAATACCACCATCACCACAGAGCATCATATACCAATCACCGCAAGGAACGGCACCATACGAAAGGAAAAAGGAAAAAAGATCCAAAACGGTTTCGGATCCTGTCTTCTAGGATCCATCCTCATCCAGTCACCCGAACATCCGCCAGAGAGACAGAGGGTTCAGCAAAAGCCACCAACTCAGCGTGGCGGTTCAGCTTCCGTTTACTAACAAGGCATGATGCGAGCATATCGATCTTTGAGGGCTCCCCTCTCCTCTCCTCTCCTCCCACCGTTCCCCCGACGACGATGAGACGTCCTAAACTAAACGAGCAACCCTAAGTTTACTGCGTGCTTTACTAATTATTACAGTTTGCATTTTTAGCCTGCAATAAGTACCCTACTGCAATAGTCCACGGAGAACCAGGCACAGGAAATCCGAATACATGGTGTCCTGAGAAAAGGTCACTTCAAGAAATGTAACACAGAAAGAGAGGAACTGCGTCCAAGAGGGCCAGTTATGGCGATAAAAAAATAAATTGCGCATCGATCGGGGACAGAATTAATTGCCTTGTACATTCCATGATACCCTTTTCTCAGCAGCACCGCACGTCACAACTGTGGCCCCTTTTCTCTGTTTACAGATGTGAAAAGGGTGTATTTACCCTTCTAGCAGCGACCCCGCCTTAGCAGCGCAGGCGCAGGAGCCAACAACAGTGCTGGAAACACACCACCACACTGCTACATGAGCTCCTCATCCCTCTCTATCCTCGCTGCGCAGTTTCAAGTAAATGGAATATATTAAAAACCAACCTTGCTTTGGAGGCCTCTTGTCGGCATGGGCTTTCTATATCAACGCATAAAAACCACAAGTATACACACACATACACATACACACATACACACACATACACACACACAGACAGACACAGGAATCTATTTACACAATATTTGCCTTGTACGGGAGTACGGCTTCCCACAAAGCCAGGCGGGCTTTTCACCTATATATATGTGTGTGTGTTTATTGAGCTGTATGCGTGTGTGTGTGTGTTTGTGTGGAGCTGTATGTATGTGTGTGTGTATGTGTGTTTGGAGGGCGCGGAATGGATCCGACAATCCGACAAGGCGGGGGGGGCCCGGGCCCTCTTGCATGGCCTCAGGTCAGCCGCCACCAGCGCCGCCTTAGCACATCGCCCTTGAGCCCGTCCCGAGTACGAACCATCTGCAAACCAGTAACAGCAAAAAAACAATGATAGCAGTGGTGGCAACTTCAGTGGCAGCAGTAGCAGCAGTAGCAGTGATGACAGTAGGCGCGGCAGTAGTAACAGAAGTAGCAGTAGCAATAACAGTAACATTCTCGCAACAGCAGTCGCCGTGTTTAATAAGAGTGTGTATTGGTAAGAGTAGCGTGGCTGTAGCAAACTGACCTCCGACTCTGTGAAAAGCGTTTCACTGCCGTACATTCCGTACATTACGTTCCGTACATTACAAGAGGCCGCTCACCTGTTTCGTATTTCCATTGTGCTCATTCATCCCGAATTCTCCAGATCCCTCACTGCCGTACAAATTGGCCAGGTAATTCTTGTCCTCGCCCTCGGCTACAACCACTCCGGCAATCTGGCAGGAAGGAATGGGTCGGTTAGAGGTAAAAGAGGAGGTGCCACATCCAACAATGAGGTTCAAAATTTAGTTCGTGGGGAAGGAAGGGAAATGGGGATACCGCAGAAAACACCCTCACCGCCCTCATCCTCTTCCCGGTGTAACAAACCCCCCCCAAATCAGACGCCCCTACCCACGACACCGCCCCCACCCCTCAGCCAGGAACTGCCATTCACCTTGAACTTGTGCTCCCCGCTGCTGGTCTCCGGGAGTAACTGTGGGGGAAAGGCGTGTGTGTATGGACGGGGGAGGAGGGGGGAGGTGGGGCGGGGGGAACGGACTCAAGGGCGGGAAGGGGAGGGGGGCCCGGGGGAGTCATGGGGAGGGCATCCCCATCCACCAGGCCATCATCATCATCATCATCAGTAGCATCAGCATCATCAGCAGCAGCAGCAACAGCAGGAGGCACAGCAGCAGGAGGAGTGACAGCACAGCGATTTCTCCCCTCCCCGACCCCCTTCCCCGTCTACCTGCACCTCCGCCCCACGCAAGGCCCCCCCCTCACCTCCACCTCCACGTCGCAGTGTTCTGACTGACTGACATCCAGACGAAACACGTACAGCTGGGAGACCGGCCGGGAGATGTGGGCGTCCTCCCTGTGCGGGTCGCACCGGCAGCCCGAAACACATCTGGGCACGCGTGTGTTGGGGGGGGGTGGGGCCCGGTGCCGGGGGAACGAACCGGGGGTGAGGGGAGGTGTAAGCAAGGATGCAATGTACGAACCAGCCGTACATTTTAGGCGGCTATAACAGTAGGCAGGTTGCAACAGCAAGCAGCGCCTATTAACCC